TGTTTCACCCATATTGCGCTAATCCTAATATCATTGTAAGGCATGTAGTTGCATATCTTCTGCGTAGTGGATATCTTGTTGGAGCATCACTACTTACTGAAAAGTGCGAGCCTTGTTTGGCTGAGTTAATCGATCATATATGTGCAGGTCTATTTCCTGTTGTTGTATTGATTTATATATCTACACAGAGGAGCTCTCTTGAGATAATTGTAACTTTATTATAGTAAGTAATGAAATTGGTAATGTGAGTCCTCTAACCTTATTCTTTTTCAAAATTGTTTTGGCTCTTCTACTTCCTTTGCTTTCTATACCAATTTTAGATTCAGCATGACAGTTTTTTAAAGACCCTCACTACAGTTTAAATTCAAATGCCTAAAAATCTTCAATGCTTCAATCGAGTACTTGTTCTTTATATAAAAATTACATTGACTCTTTATGAATTGTCTCATCTTGTGGGCTTTATGGACCTTGTCATATAATTAGGACTGCAATAACACACAGTAGCTAGTAGTGTAGATGAGCTATTGTGTTCTGAGGTCTTTATTTTGACACATTAGTTTCTCAGTTCTGGAGGCCAGAAATCCAAAATCAAGTTGTGGACAGGTTGGTTCCTTCTGAGAACTGAAGGGAGGATCTGTTCCAGGTCTTTCTCCTTGGCTTATAGATGGCCATCTTCTCCTGTCTCTTTACAGTGTCTTCTGTCTAAACGTGTCTGTGTCTGTATTCAGATTATTCTTTTTCATAAGGACAACTGTCTTAGTGGATTACAGTCACTCTGATGGCCTCATTTTAACTTGATTACTGTGTAAAGATCATATCTCCAAATAAGGTCACCCTCTGAGGTAGTAGCAGGTTAGGATTTCAGAATATGAATTTTAGGGAGATTCAAGGCAACTTGTAGCCTCCATCCTTCAACCTGTAACTCTCCCCTGCCCAATTCATGTCTTTCTAACCTACAAAATACATTCATCTCCTTCCAAGATCCCCTCAACTCTGTGACTGACCCAACCTCAACTCTATATCCAGAGTCTCATCTGTGATGATTTATTTTGTGTCAACACGATTAAGCCATGAGGTGTCCAGATATTTAGTCAATCAGAAACCCTGGATATGTTTCTCAGTACATTTCCGCATGAGATTAACATTTGGATCAGGACACTGGGTAAAACAGGGTGCCTTTCCTAATGTGGGCTGTCCCCAACCAATCAGTTGAAAGCTTAAATAGAACAAAAGGACTAAATAGTAGGAACTCCTCTGCTTGAGTGCCTCTGGTTGGAACATCAGTTTGTTCTTACCTTTAGACCAAAACACCAGCTCCTTCTAACTTTCAAGCCTGCCTGCCTTTGAACTAAAACTATGCCAGGGGCTCTCCTGGGACTTCTCTTTGCTGACTGTAGACTTGGGAGCTTGTCAGCCTCTGTAATCACTAGCACCTGAGTTAACTCCTGATAATAAACCTTAATTTCTGTCTCTCTCTTCTTCCCCCATTCCCTCCCCCACTTTCTCCTCAACTTGTGTGCCTGTATTATAAATTATTTATATCTGTATTCATCCTGGTCATTCATTTAAGCAGATATGAGAGAGACATGAAGAAGTTTCATGCATCCTAAGACAAAATGAACCCATGAAACCAAACAATCTGCTTAATAGTGTCATGAAACATGAAACACACATAGGATAGACATTCCCATTCCAAAAGGAAGAAGTCAGAAACAGGAAAGAGTTCACATATCCCAAGCAAGTCTGAAACCTAGCAGCACAAATTTGGTTTGACTTGAAGCCCTGGAGAATGATCCTTTTTGGCTCCATACTATGTCCTCTGGTTCAATGGGTTGTTGCCTCCTACTCCCAGAGGGCCACAGAGATTCTGAGCCTGCTTATCTTACCTGTGCCCTGGAACCCGTGGTAACTGGCTTCTGATCTGCCATTAGGGTCGTTCTTCCCTTTCTTGTAAGGTAATCCCTATTCTTAGCCAGTTAGCTTTATCAGCTCATTTCATACCTGTAGAGATTCCAAGAGGTCTGACCGTCTTTCTTCATTTTGTCCCATTTCTGCTCCGTTGATCCAAACTGGCATTGTTTTTGCTAGTATGAAATTCTCAAAGAGCGTGTTGGCCTTCAGGCAGTTCACAGGGTTCCAAGCCATCAGATCGAGGGCCTTCTACAGACCTAACCTGGATGACCAGCTTTCTGCTCCTGGTTTCTAGAATCTGATTGGGTTGACTGGATCCATGCATCATATACCTAATCTCTTTAAGCATATCGTTGTTTAGTCACACCCTTGACCTTGTTTCCAGAGCTTGTTATCTGGATAGGCTGAGAATTTTTCAAGCCTTCAAATTCTAGTTTCTTTTTGCTTAGTAATCTCTCTAATTTATCTTTTTCCTTTTTCACTTTCTATATGTATCAAGAAGAAACTAGGGCATATCATTCCTCATTGACCCAAAAATTGTTCAGTAGCATATTTATTCTCTACAAATTAGTAGTTTTCCCTCTTTAGATTCTTTTGGTTGATTTCTAATTTTATACCATTGTGACTAAAATTTATGCTTGATTTCAATCTTTGTAAATTTATTGAGATGTGTTTTGACTCCTTACATATGATCTTCCCTTGAAAATGTTCTGTAAGCACACTCTGTAAAAACAGAGTGAATATTCTGTTTTTTTGAGGTGTAGTACTCTATAAATATCTATTAAGTTGACCTGTAATTTATCACCTACAGCCATGGTTTCCTTATTTACTAGTTAGTTACTCACTCAGCTGTGGGCCAATATATTTACATTTTCAACTTTTCTAGACTTTACAACCTACTGGTTATGTCTAAGTTCATAGTTTATATATCCACTACTGAGAGATAGACTATGCATACACATAATGTCTAGATCACTAGTAAAAACGGAACCTTAACCTATAACCTACAGAAACCTGCCCAGGAAACCAATCTCTTTTCTATAATAAATAGCCCAGGAAGCCAGCTTGCTAGAAGTCTTCAATCCCTATAACTTTTGTAATAATTCACTTCAAATGATTAGGACTTGATTAATAAGTGACAACTTTTCCAACTGGGGGTCAAATAGAGAAAGCCGAGTACATACCCCTGGCATGCATGGGATTCTTACATAGGATTCATAGCCTAATAGGGTTCTTGCTTCCAGTTAACCTACCTGCCACTTCCCTGAGCCAATGACGTCCAATCTAGGTGCGCTTGAAGACTCCCGATTGTCTACTGTAACACTTATTTGCTGTAGGAAGTTCTGAATAAATAGCCTTTGCCTTCCTCATGTGGTTGATCATTTATCATTATTTCAGTGTTGGCTATATGTGGTCTCTGCTTTTTCATAATTTATCTTCCCCCTTGCTGTGTATGAACTTCCATTTTCTACCTCCTTACCATTATCCATGTCATTTTTTTCCTGTTTTTTAAATTTTTTTTTATTTTAAAACTATGCTTTTTCTTTTATTCATCTTATAAATAGTCACTGAATTCCAATTATGAAAACACTATCTGGTTTCCTAATTGGGGATACAAAGATGAATGGTTAGGGTGACTTTTGTCACCAGTAAATATGTGATTATATTTTACTTTAAAGTTACCATTTTCATGTGAGTAGTTGTGCAGAGAGATATCAGCAGTAGTTGATCTTTGACTGAGATCACTAAAACACTAATTTTTCTTTCTGAATCTATTTTTATTCCTTTTAGGTTAATACATGTAAATAGGACTTTTAGGTTGTGTGTAAAGTGTGTATTTAATTTTATAAGAGACTATGGAATTGTTTTCAAGCGCAGAGTACTATTTTGCATCTCTACTAGCAGTGCATGTGAGAATGCTGTTTGTTCCAATTCTAGTAGCACTTTGCATTGTTTGTTTAAGGAATTTTGTATATGTATGTGATGTTATCTGGCTTTTAAAATTAGTGCAAATCCAACAGATGGGAATGGTAATCTACTGTTTGTTTTTTTTTTAAGATTTATTTATTTATGCATACAGAACTGGTGTACAGGCCAGAGGTGTAGGGGCGGTGAGAGGATTCACCAGAGACAGAGTGGGGAGCAGAACAGGCAGATCAACAAAATACACTGCTAAGGGGAGCAGTGATCGGGTCAAGAGAGGTCTGCTGCACCATGTGGTCACCTCTGGGGCTGGGGATCGAACTCATGCTGAAGTGGCTTTAGCTTCTTAGGGCTGTGCTTTAACCTGCTACACCACCAGGGAGGGCCTCTACTGTGCTTTCAATTTGCACTTGATTGATTACTAGTGGGATCGATATCATTGTATAAGATGGTTCCTTCCAGAGGTGGTTAAAAGATTTATAGACAGGGCCCTCCCTGTTGGCGCAGTGGGTTAAAGCACAGCACTGAGAAGCTAAAGCCACTTCCACATGAGTTCGATCCCCGCCTGCCCCGGAGGAGACCACATGGCGTGGCAGACCTCTCCTGACCCGCCCGCTGCTCCCCTCAGCAGTGTACCTTGTTGATCTGCCTGTTCTGTACCCCACTCTGTTTCTGGTGAATCCTCTCACCCTCCGCATCTCTGGCCTGTACCCCAGTTCTGCATGCACAAATAAATAAATCTTTAAAAAAAAATAAAAAAATAAAAAGATTTATAGACAGGAATTCATTTCTAAGTAATGGGGAGACAGCCTAGAAGTTATGTCTTAGACTTTTTGTTTTAAACAAACAGAAAAAGACTTTTTTTTTGTAGATGAAATTTTGAGCAGGACCAAAACCAAGATGAAGACTGGAGCATTTACATAAAATAAAGTCAGTAGTGTGATTTTGCCTACGTGGCCTCCCTTGTTCCAGATGTCCTTAGATAACTAGGTGGAACCCAAGGACTTGGTGGTAGTCTACCTGAGTGAGGCCTTAGGATGCCTAGTTGTAAGAGAAGTGGGTGAAATTCCATTCCTCATAATTTCTCACGTAGATATAGAAGGGAAGTTTGATAAACTCTGTATATATTTGGGCTAAATGTATTCTGTTTTTCTGTTCTCTGGCAGGCAGGAATTTGTAGATGCTTATGTGAATTATGTCTTCCAAATCTCAGTCCATGAATGGTACACAGCCTTCTCCAGTGGCTTCCTCAAGGTGTGTGGTGGCAAAGTGCTTGAACTCTTCCAGCCTTCAGAACTGAGGGCCATGATGGTGGGGAACAGCAACTACAACTGGGAGGAACTGGAAGAGGTAAGCATAAAAGATACTCTCTTACCTCTGAGGAGACATCACTAGGCTGGGATGACTACAGCCTGGTCTTTTTGCAAAGATACTTGGTTGGAATCCACCTGCATTTCAGTGGCTACGTCTTAATCTCAAATATAAAAGTTACACAAATGTCCATTATAATATTACTCTTGTTTGGTAAAATGGTTTTTTCTTTTTGACTTTTCTTGACAGACTGCCATTTACAAGGGTGATTACTCTGCCACACACCCCACTGTGAAACTATTTTGGGAAACATTTCATGAGTTTCCACTGGAAAAGAAGAAGAAATTTCTCTGTAAGTATCAGTAAATTTCAGTATGGCATTCATCCACATTTTAGTCTTGCATATGGTCTAGGTAGATATACCCTAAGTAAAGTTCAATTCTTTTAAATGGTAGAATATGTAAATACATTAGCACTTTTGTCTTAATGTTATTTCAGGCACACATAGGTTGTTAATCCAGCAATTTTGCTTAACAAAAGGGGTTGCATGAAAGGAGGAAAAGGGATATTACACTGACTTTTCAATTGCTCTAAAACAACTATTTTATGTGTGATTTTTTAATAAAAAGTATTATATTCACAGAATCTAATCATTCAAATTAACTTCTTTATATCCCCAGCCTTTAAACATATTGTAAATGTCCATTGCAGATGGAACTGGAGAGATGTTATTTATCATTTTATCAGCTTCGTTGAATTATGATTCACATGCCATATAATCCACTCACCTTTAAAAACATAATTCAGTGATTTTTAGAAACTCATCACTTTTTAGAACCGTTCTCACCATTGAACATCATAATGACTAGTGTCACTGTCCATCTCTTCTCAAACTTCCACCCCTTTGGTTTTCAACTATATGGAGTTACCTGTTCTGTACATTTCTAAAATATAGTATATTATCTTTTGTGACTAGTTAGATAACATTTGAGTGTGATACATTTGGAAAGGAGACTGAAGTCTAGTTTAAAAAAACAAATACGATCATTTAAATACAGTTGAAGAGATCTTATCCTAAGACTTGCCCACCTGCATCTATACAGGCATCTCTTTTCATAGAGAACTGCCCCTTTCAAAATCCAGCTCTTTTTCTGACTGTATCTATGCAGACATCTCTTTTCCCTGAAAACCTGTCCTTTTAAAATGCAAACAATAAATAAACAAAGTTAAAATCTTTGCTCCAGTGTATATAATCAGTTAGAAATTAGCCAAGAATTGTATAGAAATTTTATCTATAATAAACAAAAAACTGAGGATTTGAAAGAGTCTCTTTTGCTTTATAAAAAGGAGAAAGGGATAAATGTTAAATGGTGTCACTTATATATGGAAGTCAGACAAAGGGTTAGACAAAAACAAAATTAAATACCAACTCTTGAAAACTGACGATAGATATAAGGCATCCAGGAAAGGGTGGGGAGAGGGAGATAGTGTGGGAGGAATGAAAGTGGGTAGTAGAGGAGAGTCTGGTTCACCATGGCAGAGGACAGTGGGTTCTTTTGTGGCAGGAGAACAGTGGTAACCACTCCTGAGGGAAGGACTCCTACACTGTCAAACTATTAACATGTACCCCAAACAATATTACTTAATTAGTAAAAAAAAAAAAAAAAAAAAAAAACTAGTAAAAAAAGAAAAATAAATAAAAAGAGCATACTTTGATATTTTTTGCAATCTGTACTCTCAAATTCAACTGTTCATGTGAAATAAGGATGAGAGAAGATTTCTTTAAAAGCGTCCCACTTCATTGTCTAGTTTCACTGACCCTTGAAAAACAGGGCCATATGAATTTAATGAAAGGTTAAGGTTTGCCAGGTGAACTCAAAGACTGTGCCATTCAAGAGAAACCTTCTGTTAGTCATGGGGATTTATTATTTCTGTCTAGACACCATTAGGCTTATGGGAATTTTTATTAACTGTGCAGATTTTAGCAAGTAATGTTATTTATAACATTAAAGCTCAGGTAAAAGTACATTATCTGCAAGTGCTTCTTAATTAATGATTTCCATTGTAGTCATTTGCAATAAATCAGCTTATCACAAAAGTGAAATGTGAGTGATAGGAAAAGGAAAGCAAACATATCCCAAGTAGAAACTGATGAGCCAAAGTGGTGTAAGCACCAGAAAGTTGAGTGGTCATAGAAACTGTGGTCTTCTTGTTTTCCTCCTAAGGTCATCTCCTCCCTTCCAATGTCACTATTCTTTTCTGCTTTGAATTTTTGGGAAGACTTCTAACATTTGTGAGGGCACACATTTGATTGAGAACATTTTATATCTGAGGACATTTTAAAATATCTTTTTACTAGATAAATTATTTCAGTGTATAATTAGCCAACAAAAAGTATAGAATTTTTATCCATATAAAACCAAAGAACAGAGGAAATGATTCTAGATAGCAGCATAGGAAAAGCCTGGATTCACCTCCTTCCACAACACCCCAAATTTACAATTATGTATGGGACAGTTTTTTATGAAAGAGTTCTGAGAATGAGCTGAACAACTCCTACATGTTGAGGGACAAAGGACCCCATGGAAGAGGCAGAAACATGGTCTTGACAAGAAGCTCCTCATTCAGTGTGGCCACTGAGGAGTGGGAGTTCATGTCCCACACTCTATACCTCAGAACCCTTGGCACTTACACCAGCGAGACATAGCCCCCAAACAGTTATCTTTGAAAACCGATGGGGCTTCTGACCAGAAGACACAAGAGGCAGTGCAGAACTAAGAGTCCACACTTAAAGAGTATGCATGCAGTCTTACCCAGAACAATTGCAAAAGTAGCATTTTTTTTTATGTTTCTCTTCCATTAAGAATTTTTAAAAAATAATATAATAGTGTATTTTCACATCATTTTGTGCATTTTTCCATCTCAGTTGTAATCCCTGTGGGGCTTCCCATCACCGAATCACCCATGTGCACTCACCATAGTCCAGAGCATTTCCCCCCCTTCATTCCCCACTTTTGACCCCATTCTTCACTCCACCCCTATAAAATGTCTCTGGTATATAGTTGTTCATTAGTACTATTTTCTCCCCTGGTCCTTTATACTCCTGCTATGAGTGAAACCACCTGGTATTTTTCCTTTTCTTTCTGGCTAATTTCACTAAGCATGATCTTTTGCAGCTCCATCCATGTTGCTGCAAAAGGCATGTGTTTAGTTTTTTGGTTGCTGAGTAATATTCCATTGTGTATATGTACTACATCTTTTTAATCCAGTCATCTACTTTTGGGCTTTTGGGTTGTTTCCATGTCTTTCCAGTTATAAATAAAGCAGCAAAATAAGCATGGGGATGCAGGTATCTTTTTGAATAAGGGTTTTTTTTTGTCACAAAAGTAGCATTTTTTTAAAATGTCAAAATTAAAATTGAAAGTGACTCATTAGTTAATTTTTTTCTAAAGATTTATTTATTTATGCTTACAGAACTGAGGTATAGGCTAGAGGTGCAGGGTTAGTGAGAGGATTCCCCAGAGACAGAGTGGGGAGCAGAACAGACAGATCAAGAAAGTACACTACTGAGGGGAGCCGTGGGCGGGTCAGGAGAGGTCTGCCACACCATGTGGGTCAGCTCCCTGGCCAGGGATTGAACTCATGCTGCAGTGGCTTCAGAGAGATTCATAATGTGGTGCTTTAACCCATTGTGCCACCAGGGAGAGCCCTCATTAGTTAATTTTAATGTAAAGAGGTCAAGGGTCTGTTGAAACTTTCTCCAGTGATGGAAGTACTGGACAGTACCAGTTTAACACTCCCCCTAATCTTGTTAGAGTCTCCAGGCTTACTGTGCATGCCCATGGTCCTGCTGAAACTAGAGGAGCCCTTGGGGAATGGATAAGCCAGGAGTTGCTATGGTTTCATTCACCCTTGTTACAACTCACTATTACCTTCCGGAAAAAAGACATGTACACTCGTCTAGGTCTCCCAATCATTTCATCTGCCACCAAAGGGACAGTTCCATGTTACTTATTATGGGGGCCAGCAGGGTTTCCAGTTGGACCCCCACAGGACCACAAATACTGGCATACGTTGAAAGCTAATACCTGAGGGTCTTGCCTCCAATCAGTCTGAAACTAAATGCTAAAAAGAGATGTCCCCCTTGAACTGTGACAGGTCTTGGTGTTCCTCAATAACAGGGTCCTCTCAAGAAAAAACAAGACTATATATAACTACAAAGTTTAATGAGACAACCAAATACTAGGGGTTAAGTTGAATGTTAAGGTTTGATACCTAAAGGCTACTTGTTCAATATTAGAGAACACTGATGTTTTACCTAATAAATAGAAACAAAGAAAAGCACAAGATGAAATTGCAGAAACAACCTTACTGATGCAGGGAAACCTACCAGATAAAGAATGCAAATAGTCATAAAGATGCTTACCAAGCTCAGCAGAATTGTTGAATACAGTGATAATAAAGAGATAAAGCATATCTAAAGTACCATTTAGAGGCAGCCCTGGTGGCACAGAGATTAAAGTATCAGTACTATCAAGCTATTGCTAGTCACTGAGGCATGATGTCAATCCCTGGCCAGGGAGCTAAACCACATGGTGCAGCAGGCCTCTCCTGTCTCACCTGCTGTTCCCCTCAGCAGTGTATTTCCGTAGGTCTGCTTGTTCCACTCCTCATTCTTTCTCTGGTGAGTCCTCTCACGCCCTGCACCTCCGGCCTACATCCTAGTTTTTTTATGCATACATAAATAAAAAGAAATCTTAAAAAAATAAAGTATCAATCAGAAATCACAGAACCTAAGAATATAATAGCTGACCAGAAACGCACAGCAGACTTGATTAAAATGACAGCATTCTTATGATAAAACATAAGAATGATAAAACATGAAATGTTTTATGAAAGAACAATGGATCCTACCCAAGCAAAGCAAAAAGAAAAAAGAATTAAAATAATAATAGTTTAATGGACATCATCAGGCAGAATAATGTTTACATTAATAGGATTCCAGAATGAAGAGAGAGAAGCGATAGAGAAGTATTTAAAGAAATAATGGTGGAAAATTTACCTGACCTAGGATAGTAAAACAGGTATTCAAGACCAAGAATACAGAAAGTCAAGCAAGATGAACCCAAAGCAGTTCACACCAAGACATATTATACTAAAAATTTTAGAAATTAAAGGTAAAAAGGAGAATCTTAAAAGCAGCAAGAAAAAAAAAGTTACATACAGAGAAGCCCCTCATATGATTTAGTAGAGTTTTCAACAGAAACACTGCAAGCTAGAAGAGAGTAGTATAATATAGTCAAAGCAGTGAAAGGAAAAACTTACAACCAAGAAAGAATACACTAACTTGAA